CGGTGGGGGTGGCGGAGGGCCGCGGGTGCCGGCGTCTCCCCGCTTCTTGAGAGGTTTAGGGCAGAAAACCCCAAACCCAACCCAGCTTGTCGGTGGATAAACTCTGACGCGGGCGAGTGTGTTAATTATCGTGGAGCTTCTAGAGCGGGCGCGATTGCGCGCGGACTTTGGAGGAGCTGTAATTTTGCTTCCCGAGGTGACACTGTTGGGGGCTGTCAGGTTCACTGAGGAAAAGGGAGGTGTTTAGTGTGTTTATGCGGTTCGGTCCCCGGGTCTGTAGTTTGGTGATTTGGGGTTAGAAGCTGGAGTTGCTGTTTCTCGTCCTAATCCTAAATCTCAGGTGGATTTTTCATGTTCCTGAGCAAATTACTCCTTCCCTCTGTATCTCAGATTTTTCCTTCTATTCTTCCTTTTGCAAACCTGAGGTAAGAAGAGCAGCCTACTCTGCAATGCTGTAGTTACATTTATGGCATTAAAAATAATAACCTGCACGTTTGGAAGCTGAGCTCTCTTTTAGTAAACGACACTAACACCCCACTATCCCCCCTTCAATGCACTGTTGCAGTGTTATGAGCTGGTATAGCTTGGCTTTATGTGTGATCTGTGTATTTTCATTAATCCTGCCCCTTCTTTCACCCGTTCTACCCAAAATTCTCAGATAGAAACTTTTGCTCTACTTCAATCTTTTAAAAAATGGTTTTAACAGAGATACAGTTACCTGTTTGCAGTTAAAAGTGCCACCAACGTCTGCCTTTCTACTCATTCAGGAGGGATAAATGGGATGGTTCTTACTTACAAGAGTTTATTTTAGGTTTCCTGCAAATTCAGGCAGCTGTAGAGACACCTCATATGTTCCCCAGGCTTTTGTGTACCTACAGGATTGCTTCTCAAAAAAATGGAAGCTGAGTCTTTGAAGAGTAATTGAAAAGTCTGACTTCACTATCCCCACTGCCACCTTCCCCACCTTTGGCTATGCTTCAGACTTAGGGAAGCGCTACATTACACATTAAATTAATATATAACACTTTGTGTATGTGAAATGCCACATAGGCAATAAATATCAGAGAAAGGCAGACTTGAGATTGGAAAGAAAATGAGGGGATGTATACTGCTTTTTGTGCCTTTTTTTTTTCTTTTCCCAGCTGTTAGGTTTAAATAACAACTTGCCCAACTCACTGTAGCAGGGGTGTAAAGAAAAGCAAGTAATTACACTGCTTGTTATGCTGCTAGACTGGGTAATTGGATCTTGAATGATACAAGAGCTCCTCAGGAGGATGAGTGCCATCCCTTTCTCCCGGACAGTGAGCCGGCATAACAATTACTAAAGTTTCTAGCTGCCCCACAAGTCAGTGCCCACTGTTTCCCATTAGTTGCCAGAGCTGTAAAGTGAAGAAGTTTTTCCTGTGCCCTCTCATGGGGCAATGCAAAGTCTAAAAAACATCAATACAGGTCTTGCAACAGAAACAAATACATGTTTCTGAAAGGAGTTGCTAAAGTAGTATTGTTACAAAACCTGTATTAATTTACTTCAGGAAAAATGAGCAGAAAGGGCTTCTGGTTGGTGAACACCTTACTACAACCAGAGTTTCAGCTGAGCTTGTCTCTTCTCCCTGTGAAAGAAGTCATCTTTGACTAAGCACAGCTATATTCAAGTACTGCTTAAGTTGATTGCTTCCACTTATTTTAGGTAACTATACTGATCTGCAAAGATTCTTGAGTAAATATCAAGAAACAGTGAATAAGGATGAACAGAAGGAGCTTTTCAAGATTACTGAAGTATACATTCTAAGATAGTGATTTGGAGGGGAAAAAATAAGTCACGGTTAGTTTGAAGACCTGAGGCATAGCTGTTGAACTTCATGCTGGTTACCCACTAAACTTTTAATCTTTGACATATTCTTTCATTTAATTCCAAGCAGATATTGTGATCATTGACCTTTAGCCTCATCAGCTATTGAAATGTCTTACAAGAATTTCTCTCTATGAGCTGTGGTAGTATGGACATTAATTTCTTTGATTTAAATCTAGACATCGGTGTAACTTTTTATAAATCAGCCTGTTAAAATTCATCTCTATATTAAAAATAAAATAACCAGAGAATTAACATTCCTCAATTTTATGAATATAAATAAAAAGTTATTACAGCAAGTTTTTTTATACTGCCTTCTAGGCAGCCTGTAATGTAGCTTTCAGTGATATGATGACAATTCTTTGTAACAAGAATTACAGCTTGTATCATACTCTTTTTCTATTCTTAATCAAACTCTAGGCTTATATATAATATATTGCTCTGTGAATCTTCAGTTACTAGTTACTCATTTGGCTTTCCGGCATTTTAAAAATTTATTTGTGTATTTTTAGTCTTTCTGTTGAAAATTATTAAAAATCCTTTGCCCTCCATACATCCAGACTACCTGTAGCTATTTTTTTTAGAATAGACTTGTTAAATAGTAACGTGCTTCTTCCTCAGATTACATGGAACAGTTAACATTTTTCTTTGGATTTGATGATGAAATTCTAAGCTGCATCAGGAGGACTGATACAAGTATCAGGGCTGCGCAGCATCAAATTGTTTTACTGAAAAGTTCAAAATAAGCATTTTCTATTTGATCTCATAACATCGTGAAAATATTGAGTAGCATTATTGAAATTGTTACTCTGCTATACTATTTACATCATACTGAAAATACTTAACATTTATGAAGTAAAAATAATATGCTTTGATATTTATACTTTGAGTTATATATGTGGTAGCAAGAATGAGTTAAGGAAGTTGCGTGTAAGTGCATTGTTCAAGGAAGGGCTGCAGTTTATTAATGACCTGCACATATATATGCATATATATGTATAGCTCCATATGGGCTTTATTTCCCTGCTTTATCTATGCATGCTTTCCCATTATTATTTGCCTATTTCACAAATTACACCTTTAATTGGGTACTTAACCACCTACCTATTTTTGTGCATACCTCCAATAATTGCATTTAAAACTACCGTAAATGCCTGTAAAATGTACAGTAATGTACATCTCCAGATGCATTTCTAATCAATGATAACAGACATAAAACTGAGAAAATACTGTAAGTCATCTTACAAATAAAGAGTATGGAAGATTACTGTTGTCAGTTTTCAATAATTTAGCTTTATAATTTAACATGATTTGGGTTGATTATGTTCTGTACTTTCTGTGTTTAGAGGTATGTTTTGCTTAGATGATGTGAATTGGAAAAGATAGTTCTCCTGCTTTTTACTAGTCTGTCAGCCTATTTCTGATCAGACAGTATCCACAATTTGTGGGTTTTTTTATAGTCTGATTCTTGTTCAACATTTGGTCTGTATTAGTTCCAGGCATATAATTTTCAAGCACCCAAATACTCCCGTAGCTTTTTATCCGTAGGAAGTTAAATAATCAATACATTGAGTCTCCAAATAACCCCCTCTTTAAACTCATCATTAGAGCTGGAAGACTAAGGTGCTGTGCTTTCATTTTACCATCATTTTAGGAAGTGTTTTACAGTTTACGGGAGGTAGAGCTATAAAATGGATAGTGAAAACAAGGGAATCAGTGCAAAAAATGAACCTTTCTTCTTAGAGATGATGTAAGAAAGGAAACTTGTACTACTGCTCTCTGAAGTGCTGTCTGCATTCTCTTTGTATATAGAGGGGACTTCAGAGCTGTTCACCCAGGGTTTTTCAAAGGCTCTAATTCTGATAAAATTAAACCAGCAAAACCCAGGAGGCATCATTGGCTATATAGTCATCCTGCTGTTTTGAGAATACTGTACTCAGAAAATTAGTTTGACATAAAGTCAGACCATAAAACTTACGAGTTGTTGTTTCTGAAAAAGATGTAATCTCTTCTATGCTAACTGTAATTTTTTATTTTTACATATGCTCCATTATAAAACTGCAAGTACGCATATGGACTTCATTGGGTGCCTGCTGATTTTCAAAGCAATTTTGACATCTTTCTGACAAACTGTCTTGTAGCTGCCACTGTAAGGTCAACTAAAGTTCTTACTGAGGGCAAATATTGTCTACTTTCCTTAGATAGTGATGCATAAATAATTATTTTTAGGTGAATTAATTCATACTTCATCCGAAGTACTGAAGGTGCAGAACCTTCACACTTCCATTGGTGAGATTTGTCACATCTTACTTTCGATGTCTAAAAAATGGGGTGGGATTCAGTTTATGTAAGTTGAGATGCGTACAATTAGATGTCTAAGTGAGAGCTGGATTGCTAGGGTCTACATGTGCAGTTAATGGAGATCCAGAAAACAATGTGGCTGCTTAGGCAAAGGTGTCTACTGTCATTTCAGTTTCATGGTATCATACTTGCCCTCCAGTTTCCAGTCCAGGTTGCTGCGGGCCTCTTGCAAGTCCTCTGCCATGTCTGTGTTCTCTGTGCACATGTGTTAGACATGACACCGGCTCCTGAAGTTTAGACAACCGAGTCTTATTCTTGTCAATAGAGGTGATGGAGTCCAGAGAGCTATTTATCTTAAAAGAAAGATGACACTTTAATAGTGCTTCTTAGATATTTTAGGTGTTGCCAGGTATCCTGTCTGGACTCCAGCTGCCTCTCCAGAAGGGTAGGGGACTCCCATAGATCCTGTGCTATACCTGCCAGTCCTATGCAGGGGTCTTGCATAATCCGGGGCATCCAAAATGGCACCAGACACCCTTGCTTAGGCAAGTTACTTATTCCCTATGTGTCCAGCCAAAGCTCATCCTCCAAGCTCCCTGTGGAATCAGGAGGAGATAGGCAGTAATTTGTAAGAAGTATCTTAGACATCAGTGTTTTTTTCTGGGAGGTGTCCATCTTTCCTGAATGGCTATGGAGAGAGCCAAGGCAACTTGGTTAGTCTTCGAGTGGCAGCAGCTAGGCACAGTGAAATGTAACCGATGTTTCCTATCATAAATGTAGCTTATAT